CTGACGCATATCAATTTAGGATCGATGAGAAAATTGTATTTGATCCTCAATGTTAGATTTGTGTTTTTTCCCTAGTATACACTTCAGGACAGACCAAAACTTGATCAGTATGGACAGCGCCCGACACCGGTCAATATATAGTGAGTAAAGCAATGTGAATTAAAAAAGAAAAAATAAGTAGCTGTAAGTTATAATCATGAGTCATCTAGGCAGCAATATAGGGCCTAGTATTTTCCTCCACACGTAAAAAAAATGCAAAAAACAAGGCATTGAATAACAGAGGCGATTGTAAACAATAAAGCAGTGGGATGATTAACAGAAGCTTATATGATGATTAATGCTACAATAGAGGCGCCATGCTGTTGACATAGTGATTTTCCTATAAATATCGAGGGAAGTATGATCACGTTGTGTGGATATATTTATAGTTTTCTATTGGTTTTGATTAAATTAGCACCTAGGACTAATAATAAAAGAAATATGAAAACCATCTTTCAATACCTTCAAAGTGTTTATGTATCTTGGACAAACGTATTTGTATCATTCTATAGAGGTCAAGTGTTTATTTTCAAATTAATCAAAACAACATGATTGATTAGTTATCTCAGTACCATACTAATATTACAGCATTACTATTGTCGAATTTTTAATAAATAAATAAATAAATATGTTAATAAGTTAATAAATAAATAAATAAATAAATAAATAAAAAATATATAAAAATAAATAAATAAAAAAAATAAAAATAAATAAAGAATTAATAAAATAAACAAATAAACAAATTTAAAAATTAAATAAATAATTATTTGCTTTTCTTTTTTATTTTAAACAGTTACCCGCAATATAGCCGATACAATACCAGCGAATTCTTCCGATAGAGTGATGAGCTGACATTTTCCTGTCGGCATCGTATCATTTGGCTGTTTTCAGAAGACATTTCTCAATCAATTTCTCAATCTATTTTCTTCCGTTCACGGAATGGGTCATTGCAAATTTGTTTTTGGTCAATGTAATGTTTAATATGTGAAAAATTCTTTGTCACATTATCCCTTCGCACGTATAATATTTTGTACTTTCCAAGTTTTATTGGGATAATAAAGGCAATGCACACCAGGTCAATCAATAGAAAATAGTTAATTTTTTTAATGTTTGGTACAATATTCGTTTTAAAAAAATGACAAAGGCTTTACATAGAAAATGTGTTGCCAGTCTTACTTGATCGTGTACATTCTCCGAACATGACTCGCCAAAAGATTGGGAACAATTCACAGACAGCAACAACAATCAGGATAATGAAAATGAAGGCCTATTATTGTTTCACAATACAAAATAACAGGGCCATATCATCATAATACTATTATCTTAAAACCTTATCTCTTCTCCGTCTTACTAAGTTTTTTGACAAACATGTAAATTGTTTGTTTTTTTTTGTTTTGTTTTGTCTTGTTTTTTTTTTTCATAATTTGTTTGTAAGATTATTTCATAATCATACACGCATTGTTAATTAACCTCAGTAGTTAATATGTGCACTTTAAATAGTGCCATTGTCATAGTACCATGAACATCATTGCATTCTGTCGTGTAAATTTGGCGCTATACAAATCTTTGTTGATTGATTGATTGATTGATTGATTGATTGATTGATTGATTGATTGATTGATTGATTGATTGATTGATTGATTGTCAGCAGCAGCAGAAAATAGGCTATTGAGCACCACGTTTATAAGGGAGAAAAATGAACACTAAACAAAGAGTTTTAAACAATAGGAAAAGAGTGAAAACATTTTTCAACAAACATCTGCAACAAAATCCTTGATTTTATTAAAATTTATGTCTATTGTGTACTAAAAGTCCCAAATCACCCTGTACTAGTTCGTCTACTTAAAATTGTGACACTTTAGTTCAGGCATGTCTTCATGAGCATTGCAATTATAATATATATTAATACAAGTACAATACGTTTCTATCCATCCTAAATGAAGAAATTCAAGGGTTTTCTTTTTTAGTACCTATAGGCCTATGATTCTGGGATTGTATTTTTTACCTTTTTGAGTTTTGTTAAGGAGTTATTTTTAAAATACTATTTTATGTTTTATTTATAAATTGTATTGTTAGAGGTTTTTTACAGCAATATGTTTATATACATTTGAAAATGGAGAGTGGACTTGGAAGTAAACTAATAAAATGTATAAATAAATGTATTAATTGTGTGGATTGCCCGAAATTCATCTAAGCTTGCAAGGACATTGTTTAGAGCATTACTTTACATTATACATTGCATCAACTCCGATTACCAAACAGTAGCAGTGTTATATTTTAAACTATGTTAAACCATGGTTAGACAGTGAAAGAAAAAGTTGACTTATATAACGATACTGCAATCTAATAAACTTAAAAAACAACAAGAACAACAATTTGAATTGCTACTCTGTGTTCCGATGAGATATTTTCTTCCACCAAATGATTAATTTTCCTTGCCAATGTACGAACGCTGTTCCTCTTTTCATAGAGAAAGACCCCTAATTCGTTTAAGATTTTCTCGACATTGGGTAGCTGGACTGGAAGTATAGGCCTATCTTTAAACATTTATGATAAAAAATCAGGCGTAGACTGCCATTGATATTTTGATATAACAAAATCTGCGTGATAAACCAAATTAGCATAGCCCAGCCGTATAAATAAATGGTCCACGAGGCCTGCATATCTGTAGAAATTTGTATTATCAACATACATACCTGATACCCTGGGTCATCGACTTATCGGTGCCCGTATTGCAGTGGCGTATCTAGAAGTCTTGAATGGGGGGGGGGGCTAAAGTGGGGGCTCGATGTCAATTGAAGGGCGCTAATTCGCAAAATATGGTGATATTACATGATTTTTAACTACTTGACCATGATTTTTTTTTGGGGGGGGGGGACTAATGCATGCGCCTACCCCTAGATACACCACTGCTGTATTGCGGTTACTATTGGTCATGAGAGTTCATTTTGGTACGAAAATGTTCGAAGGAGACTTCTCTGAGGAGCGTACAGTACATTAAACTCTCTCAATTACAAACCTCCCAATTACAAACTCTCTTTTACGAACTTGATTTGCAGAAATTACATTATTGAAAGTAATCTTTTTTGAACTGACAAAATACATAAATTGCCGAAAGCGGAGACAATTCCAACAGTTATTACAGTATTGCATAAATATTACAATCCAGTTATATTTCGTAATGAAAAAAAAGGGGGGTCCTGTTACTTATCCTTGAGCCTATGGCAAAGTAATAGTGTAGTTTAATATATAGCGCGCCATATCACATCCATGTACCGTACTTTTTGTAATTGTGTGACGCATTTTGTATTTCATTGATGCATTTTAACGCACAATACAGGATAATGACAGATGTTGACGCATTGCAGAACAACAGGAAGCAACCAAAGAATCGCGAAGGCGATCGACCAAGGATCGACACTATTTTTGTAACAATTTTGCTAAGTTGGAACTGCCCAGGAAATAGTTATAATTTGATGGAAACTTGGCCCAGGTGAAATGGCTTCGATGGAGGTAAATTCCAAAACTATTTCTAAACAAATGGAAGGTACCCAATGTATTTGATCCGAACTTGGCTGGTAGTACTGTACATCAGTAGGCCTAGGCCTTAGCTTCGCTAGCTTTACCTAAAAACCTCAATAGCCCTATGGCCTAGGCCTAGATAGATAATCGGCAGCAGTCAGATTGTATCTTGAGAGAATGTAAAATAATTATGGCAACTGCATACAGTTATAGTCAGTTTACAATACATTAACACTCACTGTCACTGCCACTGACTGGGCTTCTTTCAAATCATTTCACACAAGGAAATTCACTTGTTTGTGGGAAACCACCTGACAGCATCCAGTTTTTTTGCTGCGAAGCAGCCAATTCATATTCTTGACAGCAATTTGACCTCTGAAAGGTCATTGTTTGTCAAAAAACAATCGCCTAAGACAACTGAAAAGCGGAGTTTCCTTCTTTCCGGGTAAAATCAATTACTTTAGGCGACGTTTGTAGACTAACCTACTCGTACCAACGTCGGCATGTCACGACGCTGGACTACTATTCAGCGTTTTTTTTACTATATTTCTAGGTTTCCTATTTCTACGTTTAATCGGCCCAATTATAATAACTCTATGCTTGATGCTTAGACGAGACTTTTTTTTTATACCTAGTTTAGCGAACCTGACGCCTTAAAAAGATGGAAACTTCTTTATTTTTATTACGCTTGCTGCTGCCTTGAAATCTCCAAAAATTAAAGATGTATTTCTTCCTAATTATATGAATTTTAAGCATTTAACCACCCCCTTACTTCACTATTTACTTTCATTAATAAAATTTTATATTTATTTTCTCTCCGTCTGGATGTTTTTAGCAAAACTATTTGCAAAATAAGAAAACAAAATATTTTTTTTATTTTTTTCCGCCCTCCTCTATACTTACAATATTTTAAAAAAAATAAAGTATAAAGAAAGTGTCGCCTTACTCTAATAATAATTGGTGGTGGTGTCTACTACTGATGAGGGAATTACATTGCTTTACTATAAGGTAGCTTCTAGCTCTCAGTTTCATTATTTTTTTTTTTTTTTTTTTTTTTTTGCAGCTTTTAGAGGATCAATCCTCCTTTACTAAAGTGCTTAACAGTATTTCACTTTCAGTTCTTATAAATAAATCTTTATCATCTGCTTGTTCAGTTGGATTGATTTTAATATAGCATGGCTTCTCTGTGCTCCATTCTGCATTTTGTGAGTTAAGTAAGAGCAATTCATTAAACTTTTCTATTGAAGTACACTCATTTATTAACAATTGCAAGCTGCTGTTGTGGTACTAATTTACCCTAAAACATTACAGTAAGTAATAAATTAAAGTATTTCAACTAAATATTACTGAAACGTGTATACAGTATGCTTTGTCAGTCTACCTGACTGCAGTATGATTTTAAAAGAAATGATATTTATATTTAGTCTTTTACTTCACATACATTACATAATCTAAATATATCTTCAATATATTTCCTCTAATTTTACTTTAATGGCCTCTGCCTTGCATTTCATACACTTTTATCCAGTGGGGCTGGGGGCTGATTGGGAGTGCAATAGTTGAGTGGGGGATTGATGATTAGGTGAGAGGGTGTTAGCTTGCAAAATTTGAGATTTGAGGTGATTTTTAACTACATTTTTTTTTTTTTTGTGAGTGCCTCCTTCCCCCCCCCCCTCAACACCCCTAGATAGGCTACAGTTTTTATCATCCATTAATTGAAAGGCTGATGGGGCCTGAAGATTAAATGAGAGGGTGATGGCTGGGAAAATTGGTTAATATCTAGCATATTCATACACTGTTGCCAATGTACTGGTGACAAATACATGTACTCCTGTAATGCATTTTCTATTCAGGTGGAATGTGCACGTCCAAGGTGCGGATTCGTCATTGTATGAAAATGAACACTTTCAACTACAGTTCAAATTTACTTCTCGATATCCATTCGATGCCCCTGAAGTAAGTATTCTTACAATCAAAGTAGTTTTTTTACTAATTGGAGAATAATTTTCAATAATTAAAATTACAGTAAAGTATACTTTCCATCATAAAAACAATATCAATTATTTAAAGTCCCACCTGTTTCTGTAGTGGTTTCATTAGCTATACACATTTTGTTAAAACCACTCTGTTATTAAATTTATTTACTTATTGTAATTAATAGTTTGGAAATATATATTATATTTTTTCCATCTCATTCAACAACATAAAAAATTATATTACAGAAAAAAACATTATATTATAATAATGTTGTACTTTATTAAAATCGTGTGTATTTCATTTGATTAGGTCTTGCTAACCTTGCTATGATAGCATCTACTTGTACAGTGCGCCCATTTTACCACACTGTACAAGTAGTGTGCTACTTGTACAGGTTAATATATGTACAGTACATAGTTATTTTCTTTTTTTTTTTTACCTCCAACAAAACTACAAATCTTACTTTAAAGTAGTCAGTGATTTTATCTTTAGCATTATAATTGCCTTGCATTTTATCATATTTCTTTACAGGTAATTTTCACAGGGGACAATATACCAGTTCATCCGCATATTTACAGCAATGGTCACATATGTCTATCAATACTTACAGATGATTGGTCTCCTGCTCTGTCTGTTGAAACAGTGTGCCTTAGCATACTGAGCATGCTCAGTAGTTGCAAAGAAAAGGTTGGTCAACACTCAACTGATGGTAAATAGTTCGATGAAGCCCTGGGAGCCCAAACAATACCTTTGCATCTATTTGTTACTACTGTGTAGTAGAAATAACTAGTGTAAATATAAATCAATGTTATTGTTGTGATTACCAGCTTTCATAATGGTTTTGATCAGTTAATTTGACAGTTGAAATTCAATTGAGATCACCCAGCTAGTAGGGATCTACCCAAATGGGATGGGAAACACTGGACAATGACTTCATTTAACTCTCTACACTGTGCATGTTAGGTATTCCGAATGTAAAGCTTTTGCAAGTGATTGAGTTACAGTGAAAAAAAAAGAGATTTGTGATTTTATTAAGAAAATTAGTAAAAAGTATTTAGTTGGGGTTTAACAGTTAAGTATACCATTACTTTATTACCAAGTCTTTACCCACATATGCAGTACCTGTATTCAATGCAATATTTTAACCAATAAATATGTTTTATCTTTTTTTAATTCAGAAACGACCTCCTGATAATAGTTTTTATGTAAAAACGTGCAATAAGAACCCAAAAAAGACAAAATGGTGGTATCATGGTAAGTTACATTGTTTTTTCAATTCTTTAACTGTAGCTAAGCATCTTATCAGCATGCTAGACCAGTGGCAGATCCAGGAATTCAAAATAGAGCCCAAAGGGAGAGTTTCACAGATGGAGTGTCTAGACCACCTCAGCCCACCATAGTTGGGGCTGAGGTAAGAAAATTTATGATTAGGGCACCTCTTGATGAGCAGAAATGGCACTCGCAGACCTAAATTTTCTTATAGTTTTCCTTTTTTACTCCATTCTTTAAATAATTCTGAAAAATTTAGGAGGAGAGGCCAGGCCAGCTTGCACCACCTCCCCACCCCCACCCTTTTTTGATCCACCACTGTAGTCTGCTGTAGGCATCTCATCATCATCACCTACATCTTCATCTAAACTTCATTACTTGAAATAATCAGCATTGCAAAACACATGAATTTCACATAAATGCCTAAAAATACAAATACTTTCAATGTTACAAATTTGATTTCAGCTGTACTTAATAAAATAATTAAAGATTTAATTGCAACTTGCCCATTGCTGTATTCGATCACTAGCCTCAAGTTTATTGAATTCTAATAATTTGTGAGATCAGTCATCAAATGTCACAGCATTTGCACAAGGCTCTTTCAACAATGTTTATTCATCAGGTGATATTTAAATTACTCTTCCAAGTCACTTATGAAAATTTCATCAATTTAGATCGTGTCATTATTTCAATGAAAAAAGACTTCGTTTATTAGTGATCTGTAATAGTATATGTTAAAACTTTAAATTTTAGTCTGAGTTTTCTTGTATTTTTTTCTGTGGATAATATTTGCACCTGGGTTTCGTGTTGCCAAAACCATTTTTTTTTTTTTTTTCATTATTCTTGAGAATTTTATGAAATTTCAGGGGAAAAAACTTGATTTTGAAGATCAACTGAAATTTTCCAGTGAAAATGTTGTATCTTAAAAACCAAAACAATAAAAACTTTTCTCGTTTATCAACACCAATATTTTATTTCAGTTTACACAAAAGAAATTTGATTTATCTGCAATCTGCTGCTCCATTAAGGCAGATTTTTTTGTGGCGCTACTACAGTACTAATTTTTGAAAGTTAAAAGAGTGTTTTGGAAAAATAGAAAATTAATTACAAATTTAAGTCCAAGAGTGCATCTAAAATAGTTTTTTAAAAGAAAGTGTGTGTATCAGCCTCAACTATGGTGGGGCTGAGATGGTCAGGAACTTTAATCTGTAAAAGTCCATACCTGGGCCCCCTATAATTTGAATTCCTTGATCCCCACACTACAGATGATTAAATAATCAGTAACAACAGAAATAAGTAAACTTGTTTCTCACATTATTTTATATTGCTGCTTTTCCATCAAATACTATAAAGTAGATTGCATTTGCAAAATCTTTATGTACTAGAAATGACATGATTTCTTTTTTTTTTTTTTTTCGAATTGACATGTTTGTAATTATTCTTGGTTTTGTATTTCATTGTGTCATTTTTGGTCAGGTTCTAATAAACCCAGCATTTGGCTTTATTTTTATTTTTTACACTGGGGAATTACTTTAAACCACTAATAGTAAAAAATACCTGACATCTCCAAGGGACAAAATATTGTTCAAAGAAAAAAAAAATTGTTATTTTGATCATCAAATGAATGCATTAAGCCAGGTTTAAGTTTATTTTTTTGACAGTAAACAGATTTCTTTCTCAAATGATTTCTTTTTTTTTTTTTTTCGAATTGACATGTTTGTAATTATTCTTGGTTTTGTATTTCATTGTGTCATTTTTGGTCAGGTTCTAATAAACCCAGCATTTGGTTTTATTTTTATTTTTTACACTGGGGAATTACTTTAAACCACTAATAGTAAAAAATACCTGACATCTCCAAGGGACAAAATATTGTTCAAAGAAAATAAAAAATTGTTATTTTGATCATCAAATGAATGCATTAAGCCAGGTTTAAGTTTATTTTTTTGACAGTAAACAGAACATCATTCAAACAGTAGCGTAGATGAGCTACGCTGTAGCATGGAGGAAGAAACCTCCATGGCTGTAGTAGTGATTTGTGAACATGGACTAATGACATTTATTTCCCCCTATGTAATAGGCATCAGGTGGTTGCGACACAAATCAAGAGGCTGTTAAGCTGATTTTCTGTGAAATTGCATATTGATTTTCTTAGTATAAAACGAATTGTCTCAAGCAAAGTAAATTGATAAAGCAATTGCTTTTGTCGGTCAAAGATGCAACCCAGTGTCTGAGTGAATATTACACATTGTACTGTAATGTTGTTTTAATTATCACAGTTCATAAATTACTGTGGACATACATCAAACGGAAAGTGTATATTGTACAGTGCTCTGTGATGTGTGAGATATTTTGAATCAATGATTATTACCTACAGTACCCCATCATCTACCTGCCTTTCTATGTATATATCTATCTTCTTGTCTGTCTGCCCATCGTCTCAACTGCTCACTTGCCCACCAGAAGATGTACAGTACTAATACTAATTCCTGTCTTACAAGTTCCTCCAAAATTCGTAATTAGAGAACGGACCTCGGCAGTCAGTTCATTCATTACTGTACCTACCAAGTCTCCTACATTTCCTGCATTCATCTACCTACCTACATAACTACCCACATACTCTTCCACCCCCAGAGATCTCCCTAAAGGCAAAGCTTCCAACTAACAACCCCTATGGACCTACTTACTATTATCCATCTGCATCTGCCAACCAATCTACCTATTTTTGCACTTGTCAATTGTAGACTCTCCCCCCCCCCCCAGACCCAGGCCTAGGGGGGACTTATTTGGGGATGTAATTTCCAAAACGGTTACATGCATGTGAAAGTCCCGGCCACCTCCCAGCAATGCGGGGTATCGTTTAAACGCACATCTGCCTTTTTTAATTTATCATCGTGAATTCAATCCTGTGAAACCAGTTTTATTTTTTTTCTCAACCAACACTTTAACAAAGTTAAATTTCACAGCTATAAACTAAAATTGATTTTTAAATGCAAAACACATAGGCTAGGTAGAAAACGCATTAGTCTACTGTCCATCCTTTACAAATTGTAGTCATGCAAAGAAAATGTTGAGATTGAGGTAGTTCTGTATTAAAATGGTAATGGTGACATTTATCTGATGTAATTAATAGAATTGCTTGTGTACAATAGCTTTCATTACCGAGGAGTTGTCTAAAAATAAATTTCATTTCATTTTTTTAAATCTGTTTTTGTTGAGATAGAATCGAAATTGGATATTAAAGCCAAATTCTGACAGCAAAAAGGGTTGAATTTCATTTATACTCAGCAAGTTTTGATGGGTTGGTTAATGGAAATGAAGCCTGTACTTCATATATATTTCCCCAGAGTTTGTGTTTTACTGTATATATTATTTGATGAGTCCATTTCAAATTTCACTGTAGCCTTTCTTTTCAAACCTTATAGTTCCAAGAATCTTTCCCTCTTAATGTGTGATCATTTTGTTCATTTTGTTTTTTTAACTAATACATGATCTCCTGTTAGGCTATTTATTTGTCTCTCTAATAGGATGACATCTCTCTGTGCAGTTAAAATATCTGAGCATGTGATCTTAATACATGATCATTTGATTTTTTTTTTACTTCTTTCTGTTCTTGGAGTTTATTTTCATGTTTACTTAATATCTTTTTTAAAATTCTAGTTGGTTAAATATTTCTAAGGAATCTAATTTTTTTCAATCATTCATTTGTTAATTCATATTATTAGTGATGTTTTTGCGCCATCTTTTAAAGTTAATTCTTTAGCATAAAGTGAAAAGATGTAATGACTACATTTTTTTTTCGAAAAATGCAAATAGGCCTATATAGATCTTGGTGGTTTTTATTTTAATCTTTAAATAATAAGAATAATATAGTTCTAAAGTAGTATAAATGACAGTGTGTCCCAATTTTTCACAAGTTCAGTGGGTCTCCCCCAGAATTAGCACAGTGTCCTACAAAATACTCTGCAAACTAAAACTATATCCAACCATTTCATAAGATTGCTTTATTCACTCCCTAAAGTCAGCTGGCCATTAGTATCACCGTAAGCAGCAAAACTTGATAAGACATGTTAATAAAGCTGATTAAACTAGATCTCCCTCAAGTGGCTTCACCCAATTTCAGAGGTCTAATTTCAATATTTGAACTGGATGTCATAAAACTAGATTATTTGCTTTCAAGCAAAAATATTTTTACACCAATTAACAGATGAATAAATACCATTTCTATATTCTTTGCATAAAATCTATGGATTAGAGGGAGGTCTGAAATGCTCTGTCCACAATATTAAATATGCCTATATATGGTTATAATGTGATGTCATCATGACCGTATTGAGGTAGTCTGGACAGGGCTTAAGTCATTATAATCTGTGTGTTCGTAGAAGTTGATAACCTCTGACCCTTTTAAATAGCCATTCTATTATAATATTTTCAATAATTTTTGAGCATATTAAAATAGATTTTATGTCATTCTGTACATTATATCTTTAACAGACTGCTTTCAAATTCTTGACATTTGGAGCAGTGTTTCTTTTTTTTTTTCTTTTTTTTGCTACTGTATATTGAATCTACAAATTTTGACTTATGAAATTGAATACACTGTATATACTTTATTTAAACAAGAGTTCATCTTCTTGAATGTAAATTGAATTCAGTCTATAGTGTTATAAAGGTATTGGAATAAAATTAAGATATTTGATACTTCTTGTATAAAATATATTGTTGCTTTCTGTTTTGTTTTAGATGATCATGTGTGACAAGAAACATCAGCAACTTTGTGAATCCTTCAACGTAAACTTAAAAATATACTTTAGTATTAATTTCATTTGCACTAGAATAGACAATCATTATATAGTATTTTTGAGCTAATTACATCAAAAGAAATTGAAGATGGCAAATTATGAAGATTGTGGTGGCCAGTCTGGACAGTAAATGAGGACAGACACTTAAAAATGTACAGCAGGAAAGCCGACACAAAGAAACCAACAGCATGACGCCAAAAACTGAAGGTAAATCGGAAAGACCAAGAATCATGTTCAGTCTAAGTAGGCAATATAAAGTACAGTTAGAAGCCAACACATAGACACTAAGGAGAAAGCAAGGCATTCAAATTAACCTCAGGTTAACACCCAGAAGCAGAGATGCAAATTGAGATTGAAAAGGCCTAAAAATATATAGAGAGAGGAGAGAGTGAGTGAGGATGTTCTGGGTTGAAATTCCGAAAATTCTGGGATTTTTTTCATGACTTAAATCAGCTCCCCTCTTAAAGCCTAATGAATGAGAATTTATGTTTCTAAAGCTTCACAGATCCATCCAAAATGTCTGTGCTGTTAGATAAGTAACAGGGAAATAAATATGTATAAATTAAAATCCATTTGTCATTTAAAGTCAGGCTCCAGATGACACGAAAAGGGGGTTTGACAAAAAACACCTGTTAATGGGATACAGATTTTTTAATATTTATAAACTGGGGGAAAAGTTGGAAAAAGGGTGGATTCAAAATTCTGTGTCTCATTAACCTTTGTGCCTTGGAAAAATCAGTTGTACAACATATTAAAGAATGGTTTTTACTCCGAAGCCTGACTTTAACATTATATTTTGCTCCAGATTTAAACTGGCGCAAAAGTGCTTTACTTTCTATATGTAAGTTGTTAACTTTTGAATACAATATATAGAGCAAGAAAATGTTTTACATTATTAGCAGATGCGTAATTATAAGTGGTAAGCCGGGAACTCACTGCATCATAAGGTGGTCGTACGCTCATTGTACCACGCATCCAACTCCACGGCCTGAATAAAACTGGATAGTGTCAGTCTGTGCTTCATTGGAAGTTATGATTTATTTGAAAATTTCATTTCATTTTTAATATTTCTACACTGGCAGCACATCTTTTTTATTTTTCAAATAATTATCTATTGTACATAGTGGATATATTGCTATTTTTTGTAATTTGTATTTGATAAACAACAGTAATATTGACAACTATGTTTTTTTGATTGTTAGCATTATAATACTGTGTAATGTGATATAACCAAGTCATTGCTATTGGAGTAAATGGTGGAATAATGCTACCAACTTTTATGTCCACCATAGTACAAGTATTTATTTAGAAAGGAAAAAGCTTTAACGGGCAGGAAATGCATGGTATTTGAGTTTTATTATGCATGCAGAAGGGTAGCTATCTTGTGATATATCGCTATGAAAATTGTAATTTTTTTACACAGCTGTGTGTAATTTTACTTTAAAAAGTGATTCAATCATTAAAACTACATGATTTGCAAGGTTTGACGATTTCAGTCTGCAGAGTAACATTTCATTATTGTATTAGGGAGATTTTGCAACCTTACGAAAAAGATAACGAATACGAATACGTCGTCATCATTATCATCATTCGTGCCTTAAACATTCTTAACAATATGCTGTATGAGCTGAATATGATCCTTGCTTCATGCAAAAGGCATGAATCGCTTACTTTGTGACAAATATGCTGCTGTAGGGGAAGGGTTGTCTAACAATTTGATGACGTATTCGTTATTGTTTTCATAAGCTTGCGAGAACTCCCTATTACATTATTTAGGTACATTCGTGTCTATGTTTTACCATTGGTGTTGAGAATGTTTTACCATTGGTGTTGAGAATTGTTGATATTTATCAAATGTTGAATATTCTATAATTACCTGAATAATATGATTGGGCGATTTATTTACAAATTACAAATATAAGTAAATTACTATGATGAAAATTCGTTTGAAATTATCTTGTTTCTTTAAACAACAGCTTCAATATTATGATTTAAACATAAACATACATGTTTATGAATATGCAAATATGATTTTTTTTTACTGTAACTCAATACAGTGACAATATTAAGTTACAAAAGTGTAGAGTATTAACTTTGCTATTGTGTTGTCATCATAACCATTATAAATGGAAAACAAATCAAATTATCACCTAATTGACTATTCCATGACACACACGAATATTCAAAAACACATACAACAAGATATTTTATTTGTATGTACAACATGGTTCATATGAAATTCTGAGTCGCTGGATACTACTTCCAGTTTTTTTTACAGAACAAAATTACACTAAAGACCATATATTCAAGGATAATAATAAATCCAATCGCTGCATGTGTAGATGATATAGTACTTAAAATACTAATACTGTTTTGTTTTATTTGACAACTAGGCCTAAAATTTTTGCTGTCGTCTACGACATCACTTTAAATAACAGGTGGGCGATTTGTCTAGCAGCCCGCGAAAATGAATTAAAAACCCTATGTGTGCGGCCCACCAAACATCTTTGGATAGAAAACACCTTGTTTTGTTTTTTTATGGCCCGACACCGATCATCTGTAAAAAGTAATATTATTATTATTAAAGCAGTGGAAGCACACTGGAAACGTCAAAGCTTGGTGCAGCTCTCAGCGTGTTATAAATCAAAAATTCACTGTGGCCATTTGACCGATTTGTATGCAGTGGTGGAACTATAGCAGGTTCACTGAACCCTGGACCCCCAAGTTCCTGGGGCACAGTTTCAACGGTTGCCATTGTCTTATTTTTTATTATTTTTCTCATTCTGGACAGCGCCACCAACGAGAAAGTTAATTTAGAGATGGCAAGCCTAATTCACTAAGTGCAATAAAGAGTGAGTAACCTAAAATTAGGGCCTGGAACTCAGGCTAGCCATTGTCGTGTTTTCATCACAACTGGCATTTTGCGTTCATATAAGAAGAGTTGAGACAAACCTGATGTTCATCCGTTCACACTGGGAGTGTTTACAAACAATGTCTGTTTACTCGGGGAACAGATTACTCTGGTTTACTAATGCATTCACACAAAGTTTTAGTATAGTCAATCTAATCAAATCCGCAATAACAACTCCTAGGGCATCACTTGCTGCGTTTGATTTTATGAACTCATGTCACCAATATTATAAGTGTTGATTGATTTGATCAATGGCATAGTTTATTCCAGTCGTTTACAATGACGATAGGCCTATTAGATTTTAAAGGTCAAGAAGAAACTAACAATAGATTTTGAAAGGTCATTCCATACTTTTCATAATATCAATCAAAAAGTACACTGATTATTATGTAGTGTCTGTTGGTTGGTCAAATAGGATTGATATGTAGACGTAATAAGCAATTAAAAGAAAAACAAATATTGATTTAAAACTCAAATAAGCGCAAAACTGATTTAAATGCATTCACACAAAGTTTTAGTTTAGTCAATCTAATCAAATTCGCAACTGATTCGGGTGGGAATCGAATTGATTTTTTCGCAGGTATTTGGGGACGTACCGAGTACGGTACAATAACACGTCAGGTAGGGCAAAACATCACTCCTATGATATTATCCTGACGCAAACTCACATCGATATAGTTTATAGTTAAGCTTGGTTTCCATACAATCGATCACCCTACCGGCGACAGTTGTCGAGAAGGTTGAACCTGGTTTAACTTTGCCAATTGCGTTGTAGATGAATCGGTGGTGCCTCCCCGATTGCGTCAGGGTAGTTAGTAATGCACCCTCATTTGTCTGCAACGCAATCGGTAAAAGCTCGGTTACTGCTAACTGACCTGACGTGCGCAATCGGGAAGACACCCGATTCGTATGCAACGCAATCGGCAAAGTTGAACCAGGTTCAACCTTCCCGACAGCTTTCGGTGGTGGTGGTGATGTTGTTGGTCGGTCGAATCGGGGAGCCTTCTTGATTGCGTCGGGGACTGCTACGTGGTGCAACGATTGCACTGAAAACACTGTAGCGATTTTATGGAAACCAGGCTTATCAAATACGATTCACGACGATGCTCCAAAAAAGTAGGTTTACTTAAGTTTCTTATAATAATTTCGATGTGAGTTTGCTTCAGGAAAACATCATAGGCGTGATACGTTCCCAAATACGTTCTTAAATACTTGAGAAAAAAAGTCGTGATTCGATTTCCCAGATAACTAGCCTGGTGTCATAACCATTTGACCAACGAGCTTGCGCTTAGCTAGTGGCTAGTGTGTTTATGGACATTAGGCTAGTTATCTGGAGGTCGTGGGAATGATTCCCACCTGAATCACTAGCGACTTTTCTTCGCAAATATTTACTGAATATTCGGTACGATCACACGTCAGCTAGGGCTAAACATCACTCCTATGTTTCTTATATACGCACACACACTAGATTGCAAAGAGGATGCGTCAAAAACAACCAATAATAACACATCAGATTGTTAAATAAAAGATACACCAATACAAAACAGCAAAAAGTTCACAAATTGAAATGGACACATTCAACTAAAATGTACGGTGGTGATGCAAGTAGGCCTAATCAAAATGATTTTTTTTTAAAGTGTTAGATGTATGCTAAAATTCCTTGAATTTTTATAGCGACTGAAACAATATCGGTCGAATAAATATAAACAAACGGCAAAAATGATCGATGTGTGTAGGAGTTAACTCCAATGTGTATGCCTATAACTCCTTAATTATTACTTGTTTATGACGTTAGTTAACGCTACGAACCATAAAGAAATTGTGCCAATGGCCAATGACATATAAACATACAGGCAATTGATTTCCAAGTGCTTTGATGTTTTTGTTTTAATTAAATTATCAGCGTATAACTGAAGCATTAGTTGCCATAGAATAGCTCACCCTATCGGCGACAGTTGTCAGGAAGGTTGCCCCTGGTTAAACTTTAGCTTGGTTTCCAGAGAATCCCTTACTCTATCGGCGACAGTCGCCGACAGGTGTCGGGAAGGTTGAACCTGGTTCAACTTTGCCGATTGCGTTGCATACGAATCGGGTGTCTTCCCGATTGCGCACGTCAGGTCAGTTAGCAGTAACCGAGCTTTTACCGATTGCGTTGCAGACAAATGAGGGTGCATTACTAACTACCCTGACGCAATCGGGGAAGCACCACCGATTCATCTACAACGCAATTGGCAAAGTTAAACCAGGTTCAACCTTCTGTCGCCGGTAGGGTGATCGATTGTATGGAAACCAAGCTTAACTATTATAACTATATCGATGTGAGTTTGCGTCAGGATAATATCATAGGAGTGATTTTGCCCTACCTGACGTGTTATTGTACCGTACTTGGTACGTCCCCAAATACCTCGGATTTCGGATTGAAAACTAGTCACTAAGCAAGCTCGGTAGTCTACTGGCTATGGCGCCAGGCTAGTTATGTGGAGGTCGTGGGATTGATTGCCACCCGAATCACTTGCTAAAGGTCAAAATTAACAGCTAGTGTACATACAATGTGGCATTGTTGGGACACTATTCAGTATGTTTAAATAAATATTATTTGACATTATAGTACATAAAAAGTCCTTTCAAGTGATACCACACATGTTTAATTTTAAAATGGTATTTCTTTTTTTATCACATTTAACCTCATGGCGTCCCACACAAAAAATAAAGATTCTGTGTGACAAAAATTCCTGCAATTTTTAAATTAATTTTTAAAAAGTGAATTAGAATCTATCTAATTGTGTTTTTATTGAATAATAGTGAAAATGAATTTATATTTCAGTACAAAACTTAAATATTTCAGATTTGTTTATAGTTTGATTATCAAAAGTACATCAATCCAAAGGGTAACGATGTAACAACGGCGTCCCGATACTGTTACATCAGTGACATGAACACACAGAGCCTGTTTTCTAACAGTTTGTAATAGAAATGACAGTCAAATTGGTATGAATAGTCGGGCTTTTAGATAGTCTTAACTTATTCTTCCACTCAATTTCTCTGCGAGCAAATCATCAACCCAAAAAACTGTTCCATTCTGAGTAACGGCGTTCTACTGTTACATCAGTGAATTTTAAAACTTTTTGTCCATATTTTTTTTAAGGACCCCAAACAAGAATCTTGTAGTTATCAATTAATAGAGACTTAGGCATATATTTTAATTTTAATGGAAACATACAATACGTTATTGTCATATTAGGCCTATATTGCATTCGTTCACACAGTCCGTTTCTTCACCTGGTACACCGTGCGCACTAATTCGCTTGTGCCTCAATAACGTTCATACTATAGTATCCAAAGTGTTGCCTAATTATATCAGTGGCGCAGCCAGAGTGGGGGTCAAGGTGGTTCTGACCCCCCTCAAATTAATCAAAATTTAAAGACAACCCGATATATTAGTAAGTGATTGGTGATGTGAACAAATATTATATATGAACTGCTGTGCGTGTAATAAGGCCTTCATCTGGGGTTCATGATTATGAAATCATTATCTTCACACCAAATGACACCAAATGATTATTATGAGTATCCTCACACCAATTTATTTTCTTGTTTACACTTTGCGTTCAAGCTGAATTTTTTTGTTTTATAGAAATTAACGGTGAAAACTCTAAATTCTACACGTAAAATAACGCAAATTTTCCACCCCTCTGATTTTACCCTGGCTGCGCCACTATCGCCCCGATCATACTCAAGTATTATCTCTTTATATATGCTAATTATGTTTAATGAAAATATAAATTACCGTATGTGTTCATGATAATTATAATCAAGCATATTATTATTATGGTAGGTCTATTTTCTGAGTGGATCATGTCCTTATTGATTGCAATGCTCTGGCGTGTAAAATTTCTGCTTTGCGTGAATGTTTCAAAAACTAGTGCGGTTTCGTATTCGTATACTGTATCAAACAAAATACATAGCTCGAGGTTAAGCATTTTTTTTCGTTCTCGCATATCCTTTACGGGTTGTAATGTAGGCCTATATA